GCTGAAAAATCAGCTGATAACCTTGTGGGAATTCCCTTGTATATTATTTGTTGCTTTCTCCTTGTTGACTTTTTTTTTTTTTTTTTTGTGGTACGTGGGCCTCTCACTGTTGTGGTCTCTCCCGTTGCAGAGCACAGGCTCCAGACGCACAGGCTCAGCGGCCATAGCTTACGGGCCCAGCTGCTCCGCAGCATGTGGGATCTTCCCGGACCGGGGCACGAACCCGTGTCCCCTGCATTGGCAGGTGGACTCTCAACCACTGCGCCACCAGGGAAGCCCTTCCTTGTTGATTTTAATATTTTTTCTTTGTCTTTAATTTTTGTCAATTTAATTACTATGTGTCTTGGTGGGTTACTCCTTGGTTTTATCCTGCCTGGGACTCTCTGCACTTCCTGGACTTGGATGACTGCTTCCTTTCCCATGTTAGGGATGTTTTCAGCTATTATCTCTTCGAATATTTTCTCAGGTCGTTTCTCTCTCTTCTCCTTCTGAGACCTCTATAAGGTGAATGTTGGTGCATTTAATGTTGTCCCAGAGGTCTCTTAGATTGTCCTCATTTCTTTTCATTCTTTTTTCTTTATTCTGTCCCACAGTAATGATTTCCACCATTCTGTCTTCCAGCTCACTTACCATTCTCCTGCCTTATTTACTCTGCTATTGATTCCTTCTAGTGTATTTTTCATTTCAGTTATTGTATTGTTCATCTCTGTTTGTTCTTTAGTTCTTCTAGGTCTTTGTTAAACATTTCTTGTATCTTCTCAGTCTGTGCCTCCATTCTTTTTCTGAGATCTTGGGTCATCTTTACTATTATTACTCTGAATTCTTTTTTGCAGGTAGATTGCCTATCTCCACTTCACTTAGTTCTTCTGGGTTTTTATCTTGTTCCTTCGTCTGGGACACATTCCTCTGCCATCTCATTTTGTCTAAATTTCTATGTTTGTGGTCTCCTTTCCACAGACTGCAGGATCATAGTTCTTCTTGCTTCTGATGTCTGCCCCCTGGTAGGTGAGGTTGGTCCTGCTGCTTGTGCAGGCTTCCTGGTGGGAAGGACTGTTGCCTGCCCTCTGGTGGGTGCAGCTGGGTTTTGTCCCTCTCTTGGGCAGGGCCGTGTCAAGTGCTGTGTTTAGAGGCAGCTGTAAGCTCAGTACAACTTTAGGAAGCCTGTCTGCTGATGGGTGGGGCTGGATTCCCACCCTGCCGGTTGTTTGGCGAGAAGCATCCCACAGTGGAGTCTGCAGGCTGAAGGGTGGCCCCAGGTCTCATTGCCAAAATGGAGAGCTCACACTGATCAGTATTCTGAGCCCTCCACCGCCAGTGTCCTTGACCCCACAGTGAGCCATAGCCAACCCCTGCCTCTCCATGAGACCCTCCAAAACCCTCAGGTAGGTCTAGCCCAAGCTTCTATGGAGTCACTGCTTTGTGCTGGGTCCCAGTGCATGTGAAATCTTGTGTGCATCCTCCAATAGTGGAGTCTTTGTTTCCCCCAGTCCTGTGGAGCTCCTGCACTCAAGCCCTATTGGCCTTCAAAGTCAAATGCTCTGGCGGTTCCTCCTCCTGATGCCAGACCCTCAGGATGGGGAGCCTAACATGGGGCTCAGAACTCTCACTCCTGTGGGGGAAGCTCTGTGATATAATTATTTTCCAGTTTGTGTGTAGCCCACCGGCAGGTATGGAATTTGATTATATCACAAAAGCTCCCCTCCTACCGTCTCTCTGTGGCTTCTTCTTTGTCTTTGGATGTAAAATATCTTTTTTGGTAGGTTCCAGTCTTTTGTCTCGATGGATGTTCAACAGTTAGTTGTGATTTTGGTGTTTTTGTGAGAGGAGGTGAGCATAAGTCCTTCTACTCTACCATCTTGTCCAGAATCCTGATTTGCTAATATTTTACTTGGGATTTTGGTATATCTAGTACTGAGTGAGTTAGGTCTGTAATCATCTATTTTGTGCTCTCTTTGGCAGGTTTCCGTGTCCAGGTTATACAGCTTCATTATAAAATTGGGGACATCTTCTCTGCTGTATGCTGTAGGAATTATCTGTTCCTGAAATATACAAAAGAACTTCCCTATGAAACTAATCAGGGTTCTTTGGGGGTTAGTAGTGCCTTTTTAAAAACAGCTTTATGGACTTTCTTTGTAAAGGAACGAACCGGTGACATAGGTGTGCCGAGACACCGTGAATTGAAGGAGGGAAAAAAAACCTGAATAGGTTACCAGAGTAATTCAAGGTAAACTACACATAAAGGATAATTGAGACAGCAGAGAAAAAGAAAAAAAAAAAAACAGCTTTATAGAGGTAAAATTTATATACAAAAGAACTGCACATATTTAATCTATACAATTTGATGAATTTGTACATGTATACGCCTAGGATACCACCACCACAATCAAGGTAACAGACATACCCATCACCTCCACTTTGTTTTTCTTTTTTGTTTGTTTTTGTGGTGAGAACACTTAACATGAGATCTACTCTCTCAATAGATATTTACGTGCACAACATAATATCGCTGATTATAGACCCTATATTGTATAACAGATCTCTAGAACTTATTCACTGCATAACTGAAAAGTAGTGCTTTAAAATGTTTTAAATGCTCTCTTGATTCCATGTCAATACTTTAAAGTTTCCTTTTAAGTGATTCATTTCATTCAGAGTTTCATGTTTATTACCTATAATTGAACAAAGTACTTCCATATTTTTTAATCTCCTCTGTGTTCTTTATTTTTTTCACTAAACAAACTTGCCAGAAATTTGGCTATTTTATTCATTTTCACGAACATCCAGGTCTCAGACTTATCAGCTCCACTCTTTTTTGGCAAATTGATTGATTCCTTTCTGCTTCTGTCTCTATTGATTCTTCCCTCACCTTCTTTAAGTTTACTGCAGGCCTCTATAAATAAATGGTGATCTAGCAGGAGCCCAAGGTTATTCACTCCCAGGTCCTGGCCTCCCACATTCTAGAACCCGGGCTGCTCTTCCTCCTTCTCCAACTCCCAACCAGTCCAGTGTTCCTAGGTCCCCCGGCTCTATCTCTGTACTTTTGAATCATAGCCTCTTGAAAAAAACTCTGCTGTCTCTTCAACTTGAACCCCATTCCTCTCTTTACCAAATTCAGGGTATAGGAAGTTTTCCTAGATAAATTACGATTTCTTCCTTCTTTGAACCAAGGGGAATCAGAGAAGAGAGATCCGCTTCTGTGTTCTAAGCAGTCCTCCAGATACGCCTTAGCTAGAGCCCCTTTTACTTCATCCATCCCAAGTGGCCTGACCCATGACAAGGACCTTCTCCCACACCCTGGGACTCTCCCCCAGAACTGCAAACAAAGAGAAACCAAGGAAATGACTCAGATTTTATTATTGTTTGGTCTGTGTGTGGTTAGTCATGGGTGCCTCTGAGCTCATGTTATGGAAACAGCTCTGGCCACTCTGAAGGTGGGTTTGTGCCCTTTGCCAGCTATCCATTTGGCTTTGTCCTCGGCCCCCTACTTTGCCCCATAGGTCAACCAGAGGAAAGACTTGAAACTCAGGCTAAGTTGATCAGATTATTACCAGCCTCCTGGGTTTTGACAGGACCTGCAGCATCTGTTTCTCACAATAAGGTAATAGAATTTTTCTTTTGTCCTCAGCCTACCCAAGCACAGATCACTAGAAATCTTCACGTTCTAGGATCAACATTATCACTTCCTTCTATATATGCGTCAGTTTGTTCCACCTCTAGTCCCAAGAAAAATCTCTCTCCTAACATACTGGGTCACTTTCTTTTCTTTTTTTTAAGTTATTTTTTTTAAATATTTATTTAGGCTGTGCTGGGTCTTCATTGCGGCACGCGGGATTTGCGTCGTGGCACGCAGGATCTTTCAGTTGCAGCATGCGGACTCAGTTGCGGCATGTGGACTTCTTAGTTGCGGCATGCAAACTCTTAGTTGCAGCATGCATGCAGGATCTAGTTCCCCGACCAGGGATCGAACCCAGACCCCCTGCATTGGGAGCGCAGAGTTTTACCCACTGGACCACCAGGAAAGTTGCCCTGGGTCACTTTCTTTTATCGGACAATAGGAGTGTCCAGATAACTCTGGGAAAATGTAGTTGCTGGCTTCAAGGCAAAGAATGCATCTCCCAACTTTCCAAAAGGTGTATGATGTGGTTTTTGTTATTGTTGTTGTTTAGTTTAATATCCAGGTGCCTTTACAGAAGCTCTCATAAACCCTTTTTGGAAGTATGTAGAGAAACATGCATGAATAAGTAAGAGCCCCCAATTCCACCAAAAATGATAATTATTTTATTTCCTGGGCCCAGAGCAAGGGGTAGGAGGGAAGATCCTCCAGACAGTCCTCACTCCTTCCTGCCCTACAGACAGCCCATGTAGGAAAGGCCAGCGGGTAGAGGGTACTGATGCTCATTTGATGAGTGGGCCTGGTCACGTCCCCAGCCCTGAACTTGACTGCCGGGACCCATGGGTGGGTCAGGAGCCAAGGAGGGCACACTTGCCTCTCAAGCATGTTCCGGGGACGAGAAGTGGAAAAATAAAAATGACCCACTGGAAAACCAGTGGTCTTCCCTAGAGCAGTAATTAGGAGCCCTGCCAGTCAGTGCCCATAAGTACTTTGTGAAGCCCTTCCTTGCAAGAAATTAAGCCCCTGTCCAATGGCTTTCCGATAAGAGAAATAATATATCTGAATTTTATTCATTCAGAAATAAGTTTTGGCAGTTGTTGCTCTTTACGTGTAGCAGCTGAACAGCCCTAAATATTTGGATTGTCTCTCTGATCATATTTAGAATAATGATGAACGCCACGAATTACAGCGTACAAAGCCTGACATGTTTATTGTCGGCAATCCATTTTACAGCCCTTTCTTTTAGGGCTTGAGTTGCTGCAGGATGACTGCAAGAGAACTCTAGAGTTGTCTCTCGGTTCAGCCCCCTGGGCAGGGTCTCAGAGTTGGACCACAGGCCTGAGGCAGGTGAAGGCCTTTTCTCACCAGCACTAACTCTCACCCACAGTGCCACCCGTCATCCGTGTCTATCCAGAGACCCAGGCACAGGAACCCGGAGTGGCAGCTAGCCTGAGATGTCACGCAGAGGGCATTCCTATGCCCAGAATCACTTGGCTAAAAAATGGCGTGGATGTCTCAACCCAGATGTCGAAACAGCTTTCCCTTTTAGGTAAGAGCTCCGCTCGGTGTCTCTGTGCCATTATTCCCATCAAGTTCAAGCTGACGCTCTCCCCAGGAATGGAAATGAGAGGAGTGATTTGTTTCTAAGTCAGACGTTCGGGGAGCAAACAGATATCTCCCCCAGTTTCCCTGCTCTCTGGACTCACACAGATCTTTCTGAGCACAATGATGAGACGCTGTCAATCAGGTCCCAGGTCACCTGCAGTTCATTTCTGCTGTTCCAGCCCTTCCTGGGCGTATATCAGGGTACTGGCTGCCCTCAGCCCTGCTGAGGGGCTGTGCTTTTAACCTCAACACTCTCAATAGAAGGGAGAAGGGAGGAAGGATGGAGGTCCCAGCTGAACAGGCCGCCCTGAGCACTGTCCCTTCTACAGCCAATGGGAGCGAACTCCACATCGGCAGTGTTCGGTATGAAGACACAGGGGCGTATACCTGCATTGCCAAAAATGAAGTGGGCGTGGACGAAGATATTTCCTCCCTCTTCATCGAAGACTCGGCTAGAAAGACCCGTGAGTCCACATTTGCCTTTGAGCTCCTCACTGAGCTGGTTGGGGGATGTTCGGTGGCAAGGGCCACAGCCACCAATCATGAGCCCCTGGAGACAGGGGTAAACCTCATATCCTTCTGTGCTCAAAGCTGGGGACAGAGGGTGGCCAGAGGTGGGTAGACCTTCCCTGTAAGCCTAGACAACTCTGGAGGCATAGACAGGGAAACTCTCTGGACAGCAGACAGAACCCAGACCGCAAGGAAGCTCGCATATCATATCCCCAGTTCTGCCTCCTACTTGCTCTGTCCCTCATCCACAAAAGTGTTCATGCTAACCGCGCACCAGCTGCTGCTGGCCATCCACAGCCCAGGAACTGGCCTGTGCGCTCTCACACACCTGTCTTTACTCCAGGGATTGTTGCCCACCAGGGGTGCTAAGCAGGCTCTCCCCCGTAGCTACTGCTCCCCAAGAGACTCTGCAAGGTTGATTTCATGGATATGGGTGTTGGAC